GACTTTGATCACTCCTCCTCTCTGTCCAAGCTTAAGTCCCTCGCTCGACGCTTGAAGCTAGCCTTCTTGTTGTCACTCTGACCCTCCAACCTCTGACCTCCAACAACTCACCTTACTACTCCGCTCCGCTCCTCCGCTCCTCATCTCCGCCCTTAGTAAATATTGGACTGAACTCGGACAAGGGCACAACACATAAGTTGAAGCCAACGTCCGCTCCACCTCCAACAACTCCGGATAGCCCGGAGGAATCAGCATCTTAACACTAACTCCACCTTCCGATGAACCTGATTCTGACTGATTCTGACTCCTCCCAAGTCATTCCTATCTTTTTGACATCCTTGACTCACATTCTGCTTCACTCTGTTACTCTGGTACCCTCTAGATTACTTGTCATTGTAGTATAAAAACCCCTCCTGTATTTTGTATTTTTCAGTTTGAATATTGACTTTGATCACTCCTCCTCTCTGTTCAACCTAAGTCCTTTGTTCAACACTTGAAACTAGTCTTCTTGTTGTCACTCTGACCCTCCAACCTCTGAACCCCCTTTACTACTCCACTCCACCATAAGTACTGGACTGAACTTGAATAAGGGTGCAACACATAAGTTGAAGCCGATGTCCGCTCTGCCTCTGACAACTCTGGACAGTGTGGAGGAACTCTGGATCCTAACACCTGGTGGCAGAGCAGAGGTATGAACTCTGACATTTCGGAAGTGCAGAGTTAGTGTTCCAGTTCTGGAGTTCACTGTATTTTGTCACTAGTCCCAATGGACTGGTAACTCAGTTAGAAAAGCACCACTGTATTATGCTGGAGGCCACAGGTTCAATCCCTGTCTAGTCCACTTTTCTGGCAAATTTTGTCAAAAACCCCTTTCTCACACATAGGTAAGAGGCTGTGACTTAATCTACAAGTTTAGTCCAGTAAACTGTAGTGATACATAACCATATAAGGTATGTATGGAACCTCATGGAATACTGTAGAATGTCCATGAGTAAGCTATGAGTAATCTCAATAGTGTATGTGTGTCACATGTTAATGGGTATCAGTAATCAACATAACTCTACTAACATGTGATTATCTCGACAATCAGAACAACAGAGATCTGTAATAGCAATAGATGACCTTCCTGCATCTTGCCCTCCTTCGACATGCTCAAGACATGCTCAAAAATAACATACACGAAGTACGATAAAGCACCCAAAGTCCTTCCTCCTTTATAATGCATCTCGCACAGTCCCACATGCCCGTGTAAGGTGGCAGATCTAGATCTGTTCGAAGGCTGTGAACGCAAGGGCAGTAATGGTCCATGAAATCAGCATTCTATTCCAGAAGAAGAAAAGTATTGATTTCCATCCAGAAGACGCACTGTAAGACCTGTTCCTCTGTAGTCAAACGTTCCGCAAGCTTTTCGGAACCATTAATGCTGAGGCGATTTTTGCCGAGTGAGACAGGGGAACGATTACGCTGAATGGCCAATCGAACAGCGATCACTTGGAGAGGTGTGGTCATTGCTGTACGTAGTATCACGCAGCCCAGTCGAACCAGTGTCAGAGTGGAAACACCGTAAGAGATCTCACGATCCACCACAAGGCTAGTGACTGCGTCCTGGATCTGTGCAACTAGATGGCCACACGCTAGCTGGAGGAGCGTGACAGGTACCACACCGGGAGTCAGGTAGAGGAGCCATGGTTGGCGCCTCTCGGGGCGAGAGAAAAGGACAGGTATAGCACGTCGCACGTCAAAGAAAGGTAGCATCTCACGGGCTGTAACAGTTCTTTATCACAAAGTTAGGCCCATGGCAGCATGGAAGCCTTCACGATAGGATGGGGGGACACACCGACTCTCCAAGGTCATTTCTGGGATGAAGAAGATGGCCGAGCGACAGATAGCGAGTACCGGGTTGAGAGGTGGTAGTGAACCGATGATCGTGACCCGTGTAACGGTCATTAACGATACGGGCACTGTCCTTCGATGTGAGCTTCAAATCGAAAAGAGTACGTCAGCGTTAAAATGAACCTATTCCTTTGAGTAGACCTCGCCAGCCCTAAACCGAAAGCATAAATCAGTGGGGACACGAAGGATTCTTACTTGTTGATGTACCTCCAATCTGTACACCCTCTTCATAATGCCCTGATAGGACTTTGCAACAGACGGTGCATCTTTGCTATTCATTGGACCGAGTTGCACGACTTTGGGAGTATATTGGGCTCGAAGCCTAACAATATTCCCCCCAAAGGCTATCGCAGTTGCGAGCACGACGCCCACCACGACGGCCAGCATCCCTAACAGCGATGCTGCCAGGGCGATAAGGTAAACTATAGTCAACATGGCCAGAAACGAAGGCAGAAAGTGAAGGCTTACTGGCCCTGGTTCCACGCCGTGTTTATAAACCTGCGTAGCATGTCTTTTTTAACTATCAATAGGTCAGTACATAGTAACAGTTGTTGGCAGGCATCGCCCTGATTTCCACGGTCCAAGTTGGCTGTCAGATTCACCGCTCAAGACAAAATAACATGGGGACAAGTGCTGAAAAAGGCAGAGATCGCCGCCATTCAAACCGTGATTGTTTGCGATCGTCACAGCCGTCACTGGCACAACGTACTTCGAAAGCAATGAATGCGAAAAAAAACGCACCATCTCCCTGAAGCTGACATTCTTCCTCCCCGCATTTCGGACGGTATTTCACCGCATAGACGACTACTTTCTGATCGATTATTGCGTGAAAAGAGAAGGCGGTATTTTAGGGGAACAAGCGAAATCGTTGAATACATCATTTTCATCGACGGCACTGGCCGGTCAACAGACAAGTCACCACTCACAATCTGAGCTTGTAGTCCAGTTATATTACTTGCCTTGTTTATTGCCATTCAGGTAACGATGTTGTAAGAAGCACGCTGACAGCAATCTCGAATGACAATCTAAATACAAACACCAGCATTTCCCCCATTTCACATCCTCGACATGATCAACATACCGAGAAACACCGGCGAGGTGTACCACCAATTACAATAAAGCACCCAAAATTCTTCTTCTTTTACGATTGTCCAATCAGCGCATGTAAGGTGGTAGGCCTAGATCTGTATCGTCAAAGATATTGGGGTCTCCCACAATGCGATTGACTGCACTCCATTTTTACTCGAGTTAGGTAAGTTGGCCCGATAGGCGCTCATCGCTATGAGCAAGTACTGAAAAGGCAAGATCGTTCAAACGTTCATCGCTAATCGATATACAACGAGGGTATGACTATGAGATACCAAAGACATCTACTCCACCACTCTATGGTAAAAGTCACAAAAAAACATCCAAGCCCAAGAACCAAAGTCAAAAAGTGCAAACCCAGTTGAATGTACGATTGCTCAATCGCGGAGATGAAAACTAAGAAGGTTGTTGAGAACCTTGATACTATCTAAAAAAGGACACGAGTCTAAATATCGGAACGATTCTCGAGTATTTACCGTTTACCAGATGCGTGTCTCCAGAAGCAGGTCGCTGTTGCCTTCGAGCCCGACACAGGCCTTGAGGAAAGCTTCGAGCGCGTTGCGCTGCCTGCCGAGGCTGTTGACAACATCGGTGCCAGGCTTAACCAAGGGAGCCTTGCACATGTAGGACAAGAGCGACAGCACCGGGTAGAGAGGTGCGTATTCAGCCTGTCCAGTAGACAAGTCACGGTACTTGACACGCGTAAGAAGCTCCGTGAGGATGGCTAGATCGAGAATCAAAGGCGTCGCCAACAAGGAGTCCTATTCGGACCGGTAAGAATCATGAAGACAGCAACAGGATCAAGGTACGCACTTCACACTCATTGAAAATGTTGATAGTCTGTTTCCCACCGCAGAAAATCTCAGAGTAGTATTCGTCGATTGCCCTCTTGGAGTCCCCGACCGCAGGGACGTACTTGATCACCACAACATGATCTGGGTGTTCACCCTTGGCTGCCTTGCCCTTCGCGCCCGCGACGGGGGGCTTGTACAGCAAGCGGTTAGCGTCAACCATGTCATCAACAACACTGCTCTTGCTGATCTCCTTGCTCTTGAATTGAGGCTCCGCACTCAAGTTGTGCCCGTCGTTATTACCGAGGTGGTTGTACGAGGCAATAGACAATGGCTTGATGCCTGCGTTCACGAGGAACTCGGCAAGCACGGACTTGAGCTTGGTTTGCCCAGACTTGAGATCGTCACCACCAATGAAGGACTTCTCACGCTCAGCCAGCTCGATGACACCAGGCACGAATGTATTCTGAGGGGCACCGTTTACGAAAGGTTCACCCTCGAGGATGGCGGCGACTGCGAAGAGCGTCGATGGAGATACTTCAGAATGGGAGGAGCTAATGGCAGCAAGGAGGTTATCGGCTGTGTCGTTCACGCCAGGAATAATGTCACTGTAACGCTCGGTGTTCGCAGTCCAGAATACAATGACGCGGTCAAGCTCGTTCTGAGCCTTGAAGCGGCGAATGTCGGCCCGGATGTGGTCGAGGTGAACCTGCTTGTCCTTGCCGGGGATGACGTTGTCGGCACGAGACTCCTGGTTGGCAGCGATGAAGTCTGGGTAGTAGATCGATGGAAGAGGAGAACCAAGGAGGGCCATGTGAGGTTTCACTTGGCGCTGGAGATCATAATCAAGGACGCGAGCACGCTCCATGGCTTTGTCCAGCGGCATGCCAGAGATGTCCCAACCACCAAGGACGAGGTCGTTGGGGTGCACCATGGGAAGCACGTCACAGAAGGGGACGTGTACTTCCTTTCCGGTGCCAGGCTCAGAGCCAACACGGACGGTGGAAGCGCGTAGAACGGAGCCAATGTAATTCGGCTGTTGGATGCCCTCTTTGGTATGCCAAGAGATGTGGTGCTTGTTCGCAAGGATGGTCGCGCAGAGCGTAGAGCCGTTGTTACCACCAAGTCCGATCATCATGAGCCTGCGCGAGCTCGTCAATAAACGCATTCTCTGAAGAACAGAAATGTACATGCCCAGTCTTTCCGACATTGCGAGTGGTCTGGAACTCATAGGATTTCACGGTAGGAGTAACGGTGAACTGACCGTCAGAGACAACGACATCAGAACCGCGATAGAAGTACTTCGCAGTGATGTGTTCATCGGTGTAAACGGTGTTCTCCGAGTGGACGGTGATGTAATTCGGGCGACGAACAGCGGTCGGATGAACTGGAACGATGGACTCCAGTTCTGACTCTGGGGTGTTGTACCCCGAGGAGGTTGCGGTGTGAGTTCGGGAAGCCATTGGAAAGTTACACAAGGTTATAGCAAAGAACGAAATTCAGTGAGCTGCAAGGAATCCTGCGGCGGAGTGTTTAGAGCCTCTATGGGGATTGTGGGTACTACCGAGCTGGTTCGAGTACATCCAAAGAGTTACAAAAACTCCCAGAAGATGAAGGTGTTGGACACCGTTGAAACTGCGGGAAATGGACTGTGGAAGAAAGCACTGAGGAAGTCGGGAAAGTTGGCTGGGCTTTTATACGCAAAAACGGGGCGATGATTGTCTCAAGTTGACTCTAACACGACCGTGTAAGTACGAAATGGACGCTAAAGGAGAAGGGTTGGTGAGGGTTTTACGGCAAAATTTAAAGAATTGCATGATTTGAAGTCCGAGCTGATTATCACCGGGTACATGACGGTCACAACGATGATCACGGAAAATATTTTATCACGCACGTGCCAGCACGCGTCTTATCAAAGGACAAGCGACCAGAGCCTGTCAGTCACCCCTTTCAAAAAAAAAACCTTCAGGAACTGGCGGCAGCTCGGAGCCTCGGAGGACGTCTGGAGCCAAAATTTGTCAAGGCGCGTTGTGTCAGGGAGATCTGGCTGGCAGGCCCTGAGGCCCATCAT